CAGATACGTTCTCTTCAATGAAAATAATGCCATCAACGTAGCACTTCCGGTTATACCGGAAGTAGCTGTCAACTTCGTTATTTTAAATGGAACTTCCTATATATTATTGCATTATCAACAAGATAAATTAAAAATGAATAAAAAATATGTTAAAGCTTCTCTGTACCTAAATCTGACCGTTTTCGAGATAATCGACATTTTATAAAAATTTTGACAGGTGTAAGCGTTTCGAAAATTCGTATATCTTTCTTCGTTCTGGGAGCTTTTACTTGGTTTTCGGAATACACAAAGAACACAAGATGCTCTACCTTCCATTATCAAAAATATCTGAAGATAATTATACTAAGTATCTCATTCTTCACGTTACGTTTTGAAAACTTAAAACCGATAAAAAATTTTAAATTCAAATTTAACTACAGGGTATTTTTCTGCATCTTTTATAGAAAATCAAATTCTCTTTTCGTCGATATCGGCTTTATAGGGGTTACAGTTTCAATTTTCTCAGATATTTGCGGTTTACTTACATTCTCAAGAATATTACGTTAAAATATCATCAAATGTGCCTTCAAAGGCAAATATTGGTATTGTCATTCAGTGTTCTACGAGTATCAAGTGTTTGCTCGACAAGAAAAATGCAGAACAATTATTCTAATGAAGATATTTTGAATTCGATTTCAGCATTTTCATCCATCAAGTCAGGTCTTCAAGATATCCTAACCAAAAAAACACAGTTTCTTACTGCATTTGAGGTTATGTTACATAAAAAGGTAACTATCTCCACAGAACTTGTTATGACAAAGTACTACTCTTTCCCGTTAAAGTCGATTTAGAACCGTTCGAATATCTTATTTCCTCTACGATTGAGTGGCAGGTAATCACTCAAAAAAAGAACATTATAAACACCTAAATTCTCGTTGTATTCTCAGGTTTTAGTGGTCACTGATTACGAATTAAAAGTTAGAATTAAAAATTCAATAAAAATAAAAAATGTGTTGGAATACAGAAACCAGTTTTCTATAAGAATATCATATCATGAACTTTTAAAATTATGGTCACTATAACTCGTATTCTCAACCCTCAGGTCTCCCACGATTCTGCTATAAATAATTTCAAGATTATTAAGATGCAAACGTAGTATTTTACTTTCGAAATTCAAGATGGCGGATCCAATTAGAAAGCTGGGGTAATTCTCTAACAACACAAAACTGCGAAATCGAATTTCATCGCAAAAAAAACTCTAAGACCATAGACTATAACCCCGTATTTCTGGAGATCGAATTTCCAAACACAGCAGACCCCTGAACCCCATAGCCCTTTACAGTGAAATTTCCGAATGCCAAAGTAATCAACTTCAACAAAGATAAAAGAGAAACTAGTACGATTGAAAACAGATTTTGAAGAAGATTAATAGCAGTTTCAGATGTTGTGTCGAGTTTTGTGGAAAAAAACTTCTTTGTGATGCTCCATAACCTCAAATTTAAAGACAACATATATTTTGGCTAAAAATTAATACATATAATTTGCAAATGTGATGTGAAAAAATAAAAAGACACAAATCTATTACGAATTTCTGTGCAAAAGATCTATACAAATAACTATATATGGGCAAACCGACACACTGAATAATTGAAATTCGAACATAACAAAAATCGACGCACTCAACTCATTATATATTCATATATATTAATATTTACTGTCACTTCAATCTTACTTATTCCAGGAATGTCTCGACCGAGTATTTCATTAAGGTAATGCGGCAAATCCATTACATTTGAAAGCCAATTTACCAATCATGTACCACAATTTGCCAGCATTTTATATTAATTATAAATTCAAATGATATAGGTTTATTGCGATCTACATGCATGAAGGAGATTGGTTTCGAGCTGATTGTGATTTAAAGCGCATGGCCAACTAAATATCTAATAAATAACTTGTACAATAGTCATTTATTGGACACCAACATATATCAAGTTCTAAGAGTGCCCTGGAAGAAACAAAACAATACCGCAAATAATTTATTAAAACGGCTCGCAACCTTTAATTAACTTCCTCGTATTAGCAGCGAGTTTATAAAACTCAGCCGGTACAGTAATTTATTTAAGACAGGCTACTTTTTTCGTTGTTGTACTGGTAACTCCTAGTCTAAATCGAAGACAATAATAATTGATGATGTATTCCAGTTCAGCGGTTATGAACAATAAGCGGGCAACGTTGTACCGATGCACCTCCGTATTCGAAAAGAGGTTAATTCGCAATGGAGACGGGCTTGGACCGTACCTAATAGCTTTTAAATTAGATTTATGGTGTCTTTAAGTTGATGCATTAAAAGTGCGGAGCGTCGTGTTGTGGGGATTGCAGATAAATAAGTTTTGAAAGAAGTGTTAGGCCGTGTACGCGTGTTGCTCCTCCGCACACGTGCCCGGTCGCGTGCGATCGGGTCTGGCGCAAACCAATTTTTAATTCGGCTATTCACTCAACAGAAACGGATGGACTGAAAAAACGCCGTTATAGAGCTCGAGGCACAACATATAGCAAGGTCACACACATGGATAGAAAATATATTCCTCCATAAATCCTATTTAAAGTGAAAATTAAAAGAGAACCTTTGTTTTTATTTTACATTACATGGAGAACTGATTACTCAGAACTGATGGTTGACCTCTACTATTAGTCCAGTTCAATCAGAGTTTGAACTTAAAAAATGCAAATAAGTGGCAAAACTACATGTTTCTTCACTGTTTTTAGTGCCCATGAAAATCTAGACAACCTATCGGAAAATTAGTTATTTTATGTTGTGAGCAATTAAATTACCTACAATTTAAGGCACCTAAAGTCATATTTCACCAATTTTTTAACTGTAAAATAATGGTCGAACGTGGATAAATCAGTTTTTGAAAATTGCGCATTATTATTGCAAAAAGCGGTAGATGTTGATGAAATTTATGGAATATACGGTAAATCTAATGATTAACATGTGTGCCAAAGGCCGATTCGATTAACCATGAAATTGTAGCTCCCCAGGTATTTGTTAATTAATTTAATTCCTTTTTTTTCCAAATAATTTCGATTAATTACTAAACGTTTATCTTAGAAGATAATATCGTAAATGTAGGTTCTAACTGATCCAAAGAAACGTATTGAAGAAGAAAAATTTCAAAAAATTGATATTAAGTTGCTCTTTACAATTAACAAAGTAGGATGTGCAAAACAGCGTTACAAATAAATTGTCCCAGGGTCAGGCAAAAGCCGCTCGAGAATTCACTCTTTTTGTATTAAATAAAGCTTATTTTTACGATAATTTAAAAAACCCTACTTTTTTACATCTTGGGCAAGTTCTCATTTTTCTCAACAACCCTTAATAACAAAATTTTGATATCTCATTCCCTTCAAATGATCTGTGTAGAAAAAGACACTAGTTCAATCAAGTCTGTTACTGTTTTATCATCGCTAACTTGGAAAACAAGATAGTTTCGATGTTTATATTCATTACCGACATAAATCGTTTGTACCACATAGCTGTACCCTTAATTTTATCCTTTTCAATTATCATTTAACCCATTTTTTCATTGAACATTCTTTTTTAATAAGTATAGTTAATATGCACTAAAGTAATTATTAAATTAAATATATCTCTGAGTAATATAAACCTTGAAGCATCTTGTCTTCCTCATCAACGTTGACAAAATCAGTACAAACTTCACCCTGTACATATCGATTATGAGTATACTTAATTCAAATTACGAAATATGTAAATAAGTACAATAAATTTATTAGAAACAATTAGCGGTTTTGCTTATTTATTAATATCTTATTCTGACATAAATAATTTAGACTAAATTAAGAACATGTTTATTGAAATCATGTATTATATACAGGGGGTCACGATGACGACCCAATAGAATTATTCAGAAAAATTATTCTTAACATTTTTCTGCTCATCGGTGGAAAATTTGGATATGTATCATTAAAAACTGTACATGCTCTGATTATAATCCCATTGCAACGTCCGTGAATGAATAATAAATTTAAAATATGAGAATTTGAATTTGCATTGTTTTCCATTTCATATAAACACTAAATTAAACTGTCACTGCAAGAGACTAACAACAAATTGACAGTTTAGTTGTTTGTTTTGAAGTTTTGTTAAAAATTCCACAGCTATCCTCGCAAGAAATTACATGATTTTAGGTGATTACACAAAAAATAGTAGATAACTTAAAAACTAGGAAGAGATAGGTATAGAGAACCCTGATACCGTTCGAAAGAGAATAAAATTGTGTATCAGAATATAGGGGGAACATACAGGGTGTTCCATTTAAAAAAACCGACTTATGAAGGTTTGAAGTTAACTCGGCATTAAATTTCTAGCATCCTATATGCAACTAAGCCACTTTGAAAGTATGGATGGAAAGCGTAGGGGTCTAGCTATCCCCCGTATTAATATTGTTGCTTTATCTTTCTTACTATAAAATACACATGGTTTGAAGGTAGTCACAGTTTCTCTCTATTTTTTTGAAAAAAAAAAAATATCTCGAAAACGGTTAATTTCAGGAATAGGGAAACTTCATAAAAGTACACCTAAAATAACACGTAGAATCCAAAATAGCAATAATATATAGGGTGTTCCATTTAAAATAAGCAAGTTGATGGCGACTTCCGGTATAACCGGAAGTGGTACGTGGACGCCATTATTTTAGTTGGCAAGGGCATGCCCGAAAATCCGGTATTCCAAATTTTCAAAATTCAAATCAAAGTAGTCTCTGAAATAATTCTAATGGGCCGTCATCGTGAGGCACCCTGTATATATAAACTTTTGATGTATATTTTCAAATATATTTATAAGTCATGGTACAGGGTGTTTTATATTATGGAGGCTCTCTACTGGCCACCATAAACTCTATAGTTTTGAAAATACATCTGCTTACGTTTTTTTTTTGTATTAAGTTAAAACTGCTTAGAAAAGATACTCTCGTACATTTTTTTATTTTGTTTTTCAGGATTGTAAGAAATAAAGCCGCTGAAAAGGCAAAACACGCCCACCACATCGCGACGAGCAACGCAGGATCGTCGGCGACTGGAGGACCTGTATCTGTGATTGCGCACGCGCCCGCCACCCAGTTAAGCGAACCCAGATCTGGAGCGTATAGTATTAATGGAATCCTTGGTTTACAGCACGACCCCAACGGCAATAGTATAAAGAGAAAACGAATAGACGACCATGGTAAGCTTTTTATATCAGTATCCCATTTGAAACACTGACACCCAGTATGGCTGGTGTAATTCAATGCTAGTCGAGGCATATAGTCCGTAGAGTAGTTGTTTCCTGCAGTACTTAGTATTTTGAGTGTGGATAAAGACTTGGTTAACTGATCTATTGATTAGACTGTGACTAACAAGTGTGAAATTGTTCATAGTCTAACCATTTGATTATTTGGTCCGGTACTAAGAATATCGGCGCTAAATATTACTTTTAAATGTTGTTAGATTCAGAATTTTAATATTTCATACATTTTCCAATTGAAGGAAAACTAAGTAGAATAAAAACCAAGATCGTTAGGGCCATTGTATGGTGTTCAGCTGAATATCATTAGATCTAGACCCAACTAATCCACATATTGTCTTTGGTATAAAAGCCTATGTTCGGTATATAATGTAGGTACTAGAAAAAAACTAAATAAAGACAAAAATCGCATGCAACATACCTGTAGGTATATCCTAGTTTAGTTTGGCAACTACGTTTGTAGGTTGTTGTATTTTATTTACATAGTTTTTTTTATTTCAACAATTGTTAGCTAAACAAAATTTGTTTGCGAATATGATTTAATCTGAAAAATTATTTACCATGTGAAGGTTTGAAGAAATGTAAGAAATGTTCCTTTGATTTAAAAAAATCATGAACAAGAACTCGTACTCCGTATATATGAAGTCAACGTACATTTTATCCAACAATCTCTGCCAAGTCGGCATGATCCTTCTTCGGCAAAAGCTGCTAATCATATTCCGAGATCCCATCAACCGGGCTGAGTATCGATCCCGATGCTAATAAGCGTAACCCGCGACGTTATAGAGTCCAAAATGAAAAAACTTGTCGAGTGAGGAAGTTGGCTTTATGAATAGGAAATCCACAAGTAGAGCTCGATTGCATTTAGTGTAAATCGCATCAGCGTGAAACAAGCGAGTGCGGCCTTCCACCGTCGCTCTGACCAATCAGCGCCGGTGGCGGATTATGAAGACATCACACGCGTTGCTACGCGACCGCGAAACCCCCACAGCCGCCCAAATGAACCGCCGCCAGACCCCTGCCGAACCGTCCGACTGTGCATATGCTTACGATACTTTGCGTTGCCGAAACCGAATGGAGGACGGTTGTCATCAACAGATAATTTTCACGTCTAAATACTTTTAAGCAAATGTCTGATGCAAAAATAAAAATATTTGCCCGTTAATAAAACCAAACTCTTTTTTTTACCCTAAACAAAAGTCTAAGGGCAGAAGTAGTCTCACACGTCAGAAAATATTATTCTTCGTGCTCAATATTTAAAAACAAATATTTCAAACAAATACAGAAACTTTCGGGCTACATATTTCTGAATTCAAGAAGAATAAATAAAGAAAATTGAAAGATGACATTTTGGACATTTTTTGGGTGGGATTGAAAATAAATGTTAACGCTAAATTCCGATTTTTTTGAGAATCATACGTTTTTTATTTCGAATTGAAGGATTTTGGAGACATTTTATCGTTATTTAAGAATAAATGTTCACATATGTTTGTGATTTTAACCTTCATTCACATTATCTTACAAGTTAAACGACATACTTTGTACTAAAGCAAACATATACCTCCATTTTCTTTTTTTAAGTCGAATTGCAAAACTAATTTGTTTGATAGATTATATCCAGAAACAAATCCGGATCGGAATTATCCAAGGATATTTTTGTAAATCTTACAATTAGTTCGTTACTTAAGAGATATCGCTTATCCAAGGAAGTTGCTGTACCTCGTAAACCAAGCACAAAATCAACAAACATCTAAAGAACAATACATTTGGATATACACGTGCATAAAAAACTTTATCTGTCGTGGCATTTCTTTTATTTTCAGAATTACAGGAAAATTTCAAGTCAGTATCTTAAAAAACAACGTAGTTAATAAAACTGTTATGCATTATATATTATTATGTATTGGGACCAAAAAGTTGCATTGTTCTGAATCAATCTGTTGCTACAACAAGCTGGCGAAGCTGAAGTTGCGGGTTTTGGCATTGCCTTGCATTCTTCCCTTAATATATTAATATTATTATTGGTTTGGGTTCTCTTTGTTAATGTTAGATTTACAGTCACTTTTTAGATGTCATATTGTTTTACATGTTTGAAAACTTCACATCCACATTTATGTCAAAACCACTGATTCATTTTGTCTGATTGTGACAGACGTAATGTAATTAAATTTTGAGGCATTTGTGGACATAAAATAATATGACTTCTAAAAAGTGACACTTTTGGTTGTTCGAAATTGGGTTCATAAAGCTGACGGAAAAAGTATTTATTTTTTAATTTTACGCCAGTCCGACACTGCTGTATGTTTCTGCTATAGTTTTGATTGTCACTTATTTAAATATAGCAAAAGTTTTAACTTTACAGGTTCTGAATTTTGCTTTACTATCTAATTGGTTTTGTTTTCAATGACTTCTAATTTTTTTTCTCGAAATGTGATCATTGTTGCAGACTAATGTCTTAATCTGGATCTTTCATTTTTTGTTTAAAGGGCTATTTTATCGCCAATAATTTAATATTAAAATAAACCTTTGCACCATAAAGATAAATCATTTTTTGGAATTATTTTTGCCAAACTGAAAATCTTTATACAAATAAAAGTTTCCAAATAAAAATGAACTAGGTACATAACAACATAGAACAGACAGTATTTCTTTCTCTTTATTGCCCCTTCTTTCAATATCGACAGACGAAAAGATTTTTTACAGAAATATTTTGTATCATCTTTCACAATTAATTGATACACTTAGTTGCAGTTTCCCTCATTTTCTTGATAACAATTAGTCTTATTTTCTGTAGTTTCTGTCAAAATCCACTGAACCATAAGATCACTTTCCGTTTAATTTTATTTATTTATTTGCGTCGTTCAATATGAGATATTTGATCAGGCAAAACTAATTCTAAACAAAAACATCATGACTGGTTCCTTTGACATTTAATATTTGATTTATTTAATAAGATTTTAATTAATTGTATTCTGTGTTGGAGTAAATGGCAAATCAAACAGAAAGAAAAAGTCAGATTTTCCAAAAACAAGTACTCTTGTAGTTAATTTAAAAAATGAAATCCACTGCCACCTAAAATAACTAACTAAAGGGCAAAACCAGTATTGATTTGATATTATTACGACTTGATAAAGAGGATGTTAGTTCATTTCAGGACAGCTCCTATAAAAAACCCAAAGTATACATAATGTTGTCGTCTGATGGTATACAAGTCGCGAACACATGCATTATTATAGGCCTTCACGCAGGGTGAGCAGCTATGGGTCCGTCTATATGCCTTGCGCACAAACCGTGAGATTTATAAATTTATATTTTGACAATTTCATACTGCAATTTAGGGAAGTTATTTATGGACCAAACTGTGACCCGTCGTACTAGGGGTTGATTTTTTCGCGTATCAGATTACGTCTGATTAGGTTTTATGGAAATGCTGTTTAGTTCGTGCAACACCCCTGAGTGCCGTTTGATGATGACATTAACAGTACGTTTGCCCCTTACCATAATCAAACTCCTTTGGGACAGAACATGGACGTATGGTCGTGCACTTAGTGATTAAAATTATTGAATAATTAATTATCTATTATAATTAATTATCAAATTACAATATTTGACCTCCTTAAACAGTAGTTAAATTATTTTATAACATGCAACTTGTAACAGCGATTTTCAGAAAATGACTTGAGTTTGAAATATCTCTTTAATATTTTCTGAAAGAGGCAGAATATTGTAATATATTTTCATACATTTCATAATTATATATGCTGTTATTATTATAAATACCATGAATTATTTCCTTAATAATAGGGTTATAAAATGTCGGATAATTATGATTAATATTAGGAATATATTTAATTTTTTTAATCTTGTTTAGTCTTTTTTGGGTCTTTGAATCCCATACACAAGTCTTTTTATAGTAGTAATATTTAAACAATACCTAACCAGTGTCTGAGAATTTCTACTTTCAAAAAGAGTTGCTTGGTGTTGATAGGATCTTCCTTTACAGATTTGGAAGGATCGTACAATGCATTACAGTGTTATAGGAGCTCGTAAGCAGCGAGCGTAGATAAAAGCAAACTATTACTTTGTTCTAATCTCTCAAAAATTAAATAAACGTGGTTTTGTACAGTGGAATCTCTTCTTCGCATAATTAACTAAAATAAAATTTACAAAAATTGCCAGTTGTCTCTAACCTAGATAAGTTTTAATACTGAAGCATGATACAGGGTGACGTAGAATATGTGGGTAATCTCTCGGATTCATAAAGGAAGCGTTAAAATAACATGACAAGTTCCTACAAAAATTTTCCCTGGAGAGGTCCCCCTACGGGGATACATAGCCCCCTGAAAATCGATTTTTTTGAACAACTTTTAAAATACTTTGTGTAATTTAACTATTTTTTAATATGATGGACAATAGATAAGACCCTTTAAAAATTGACCCATGAAAACAATTTGGATTTTTTGGATTGCCAGGGACGGACTAGCTGTAGCACAGTATTATCAATTTTTTACACCTTGTACGAAAAATCCACAAAAATAATATATTTTTAAATAGCTGGAACCTTAAATTAAAAGAAAGGTACTCTTGGTTGATATCGATAAAATTAACTGTTTTCGAGAAAAAACTATTTTTGTTTAATATGATTTTTATTACATCCATAAAGAGTAATAAACCTATGAAATTTGCATTCTTTCTGTGCCTATCTAAAAAATGCCACTTTTATTTGCACTTGTTTTTCCCTTTGTTTTTTGGTGCTGTTTTTTTTGACATTTACCGATTTAAAAAAGAATTACAGTACCTATCTGAGTCTCAGTTAATGATAGTGTGTCGAAACTTGTGATATTTTCCTTATTTTTTTTTATTCCTCGGATTTGCCGTAATGGAATTTACGTTTGCTGAATATGCCGACATGCATTTATTGTATGGACTTGCATCATGTA